CATCACATCTCATCTTTGTGCTTTTTCCCAAACATTCAACTGCCACATAAGTTCAAGTTGCCTAAATTTGATAAGTACAATGGCACTAGTTTTCCTTATGGTCACTTGACAATGCATTGTAGGTGGATGGCTCCTTATGGCAATGATGAGAAACTGATGATACATTACTTTCAAGACAATTTAACAAGTCCTGCAAATGCTTGGTTCTCAATTTTAGACAAGAGTAAGGTCAAGAGTTGGCATGATTTGACTCATAATTTTATGAAGCAATATGAATACAATACATCATTAGCTCCCAATAAAGAAGCTCTTCAAAAGACAGAAAAGAAATAAAGTGAGAGTTTTAAGGATTTTGCCCAGATATGGCGTGGATTGGCTGCTCAAGTTCAACTGCCCTTGTCAGATCATGAATTGAGTAATTTATTCATTAAGTCAACCAAAGGGCCTTATTGTGAAAAGTTAATGACTTGTGTGGATTACACTTTTGCTCAATTATTTGTTGAGGATGGAATCAAATCTGGTGTCATCCTAGATTACCAAGCTATAAAGGATATTCTTGAGCAACATTAGAATGGAAAATTGTTAGAATTGGCTAATTCGATTTCACATGAAAAGGGTTAACCAAAGTGGGAGGGACAAAAAATAGAATGATGTACACATGGTGAATTTTGTTGCATCTCGGCTTGGACAAGTAGTTCAAAATTAGGGAAGGAAGCATCAACATTTGATCCCTTACCACTATCATATTTAGAGATATTCAATCAAATGGTATCTCTTAGGGAATTGACTCCAATCCCTGCAATCAAGCCTCCTAATCATTTGTCGTTCTAGTATGATCCACCTAGATGTGATTATCATAGCGAGACCATTGGTCATGGTATAGAAAGGTGTCTAACTTTGAAGCATAAGATTCAAGATTTGAAGAATTTGAAATGCTGACAGTTCCACTCAGACAAGGTTGATCTTAGAACTACTATTGATGAAGGCTTGGACAAGTGAACAATGGAGTTTTTTCCCTATTTTTATCATTTTGGAATAAAATGTATCTTTCTTGTTAGCTTTTATTTGCATTTTCCAAAATCCTTTCATATTGTAATTTGAATCTTCTTCATGTTTTAATTCATAGTTATTTAGTTCTTGATTTTATACTTCCATGAGTTGCTTTGTTAATGAACTTGAATTCAATTTTGAACCCCATAGAGAAAATTGAGGCTTGAGAAAAAAAACTAAAGGTTGAGAAATGAGGGAGGTGTTTGAGGAAGAAATAATGGATGAGTAGGAATGAGAGAATTGTACAAAGAGAAATTGATCTCAAAATTAGAAACAAACATTCTTATGATAGAAGGCTTGAGAATTTTTATCCTTACCATTTGAAACCTTTTGGATGAAAACCTTTGCCAAGGATTCATCTTTAAGAATTGCCACAAATTGTACAAAA